CGCACTGAAGCCCTGTTGATATCCGTTAAAAACCCATGAGAAAAAAAGCTACCAAAACTCAAATACAAGTTTACACAGAGATCAAAAGCCGTTTCTAGTATTGTCAGCCTTACCGTAGAAGAATTAAATACCACAGTAAAGATTTGCGACCTGAAAACTGGTGAATTTTTAACTTCTCGGCCAAGAGCTGGAATTCGAGCGCAAAGTTCAACTGTAACCTGAGGCGCCGTCAGCGAACCATACCTAGAAGATGATTCCTTCAGCACGGTGCCTGATAATGATTAAATAACGGATCTTAACTTAACGCTCAAGGTCATTTTTGTTGCTCACTCCAGAACACCTCACCTCACGCTGTCGTCCTAGCTACGCCCTCGTCCGAAAAGCTAAAATCGGGATATTCGCTTAAAAATACTCAACCTGAAAATCCATCCGCATGATCTCAAGACCCCGTTCTGATACTCTTGCAGGACATCACCAGGAAGGCGACGGAACACTGTATGTAGCATTAAAGTAAGCGCAAGATCCTTTTGAACAGCTACATGCCAAATTGCTCGGCGATATCGGCTGCCGCCTGTGAAGACCGCGCTCAGTGCGTTTTCAGCGCAAATGGAGAGAAGGAAATAGACAGAAACAGACCCCCCCTGTGACTCTCCTGAACAGTTCTCGAGGAACACCGGGCTAGCGTTAAAACGTCTCCTCTTTAAAAGCTTGGTGCATCTCTCCAGCCGCAAACCGGTTTCGCCATTTTTTAAAAAAAGTCCGGCCGCGCACTGAAGCCCCGTCGCTGTCCGTTTTAAAACCCCATTAGGAAAAAGCCAACCACAAATTCAAATAAAAGTCTACATAGAGATCAAGAGCCAGCAGCCATCATCCAGGTGGGGGCTGCACACTGGTGGTGGTAGTGGGATTCCTCCTGACCTGTCAAGCTCTTTGAGTGGAGTGTCCAGAAAAGCGCTCTATAAGAGTACCCAATTATTAATTATAGCAGTTATCCAAAGCCGTTTCTAGTATTATCATCAGCGTTACCGTAGAAGAATGAAATACCACAGTAAAGATTTGCGACCTGGAAACTGGTGAATTTTTAACTTCTCGGCCAAGAGCTGGAATTCGAGCGCAAAGTTCAACTGTAACCTGAGTTACCATACCTAAAAGATGATTCCTTCAGCACGGTGCCTGATAATGATTAAATAACGGATCTTAACTTAACGCTCATGATACTTTCTGCTGCTCACTCCGGTAAAAAGACAAGCTGCGCTATCAGCTGCCGGGATCCGTGGACGAGAATCGTGCCCACGCCTTATTTCAATTGCAATTTAACTTTCAACCCGGCGTTTCTTTTCGCTCCTTTTGATCGGCGATCCTATGAATTATTACTGAGAAATTGAAATAACGTGACTCCTTTTTCCCCCCTCAACGAGGAGAACTGTTAAACGTCAAGTTTCAATATATTTTTTTTTTGGTTCAATGTCTCGGCTGTTCTTGGGCTGATGGGTGCGGGGTTTGTTTGTTTTTTTTGTATGCTTGTTTCTGATTTACTGTTAACCCAAACCGTCTCGAATAATAATTTTTAATTGTTTTAATTTAAACAACAACAACAACAAAAAACCGCATGGAAAGGCAACAGCCAGAGGTCCTCACCTGTCGCTGGTTGGGGTGTGGGTAGGTAGACGTCCGCCCCGGTGATCTCCAGCTGCTCCTGTTCCTCGGCAACAGCTCTGTCGTCTTGTTGGAGGGGTGGAGAAAAAACCTAACTGCGGATCAGGATATCGGAGAAAACTGCACGCCTCTCGCCGTGGTTACAGCTTTCTGCGTGAAGAAACCCCGCACTCTCCGAGCCGACAGCCCCACGCCCCTCGCCCCTCGCCCCTCGCCCCTCGCCCGCAGGCGCCGTGCTCCTGCTGACGTTCGTCCTCAGAGACCGCCCCCAGCGCCTGGGGAGGTCTGTTTTCATCTGGTCTGTAGGTCCTGGCAGACAGCGCCAAGGTAACGC